AAATGACCAAAACTATTCAAACACGGTGTGGATTGTTATCCAACTAGAAGAAACCATTTCGTGGTCGCCATGAATGACGATGATGCAGCGCTTGAGGAGAAGAAGACGTTACCATTAGTACTCTCGCCGACCACGAATCTGTCTCTTCCTGATGATATACTTTTGAGCTCCCTAAGTCGCATTTCGAGGTTGTACTACCCAACTTTTTCACTCGTCTCCAAGAGTTTCCGCTCTCTCGTTACTTCGCCAGAGCTTTATCAGACCCGGTCTGTCCTTGGCCGCACCGAAAGTTGTTTATACGTGTGCTTACGATCACTTACCGACTCTAACCTCCGATGGTTCACCCTCTCCCGGGTACCGAATCGAAAACTAACTAATTTCTCAGGTGGACATTTATTGGTCCCAATTTTATCTAGACATGCTCCTCCTGCTCATTGGTCAAGTGTGGTCGCGGTTGATTCTAATATCTACGCTATTGGAGGGCCCATCAACGATGCGCCTTCCTCTAGTGTCTCGTTTTTGGATTGTCAGTGTGACTCATGGCGCATAGCTCCACCTATGCGGGTGGCTCGGAACTATCCCACTGCGAGCGTTCTTGATGGGAAGATATACGTAGCAGGAGGCTGCGAAGATTGTGATTCGTTGAATTGTATAGAGGTTTTTGACCCAAAGATCCAAACTTGGGAGTCTGTGGCAAGTCCTGGCACTGAGAGATGCGAGAGACTTGTGTACAAAAGCGTAGGGATCGAAGGAAAGTTTCATTTGTTTGGGGGTGCAGGTCATGTTGCTTACGACCCGAAAGACGGTAAATGGGACTCCATTGGGATGGATATGGATATGGGTCAAGCATGGGTTTCTTATTGTGTGATAAAGAATATAGTGTTCTATTATCATGATAGAGATAGAGAGTTTAAATGGTATGATTATGAAGCAAGGTTGTGGAGAAAACTGATGGGTTTAGAGCGACTAATTAAGTTTTTGTGCTATAGCCGTGTTAACTTGGCGGATTATGGTGGAAAGATGGCGGTTTTATGGGACACTTTTGTGCCTTCTAGTGGCTCTAAAAACAAGATGATTTGGTGCGTAGAGATCACGCTTGAAAGACACAATGACTCAAACGAGATTTGTGGTAAGATTGAGTGGTTTGATGTTGTGCTTAGAGTTTCCAAATCATATGAATTGGTTCATGTTGTTGGTGTTACAGTTTGATCTAATGGATGACTTTCTTGTTGTTTTTAGCTTTGATTTTTCACTTGTAAGCGTTTGAAATCGTGTTGAGATTTTGAATGATTAACTTTATGTTGTGCCGGAAACTGCTAAAATGCATTTGGAACACTGTTTTGGTTCAATAAGTAAAAGATTCAGAGGAAAATCTATAACAAAAATACATACTTAGAGAGTTGATGATCCTCTATTTAATAAACAAGATAGGACTTCTTTGTGAACAGAAGAGAAAGGAGTTTCTTAGTGATTCGGTAAAGAATTTGCAGAGAAATATGGTTTCTTTAATGATTTAATGAATAAGTTGCAGATTTATATGTTGTCTTGCCAATATATGCCTTTTATGTTCATATACTTTCTGAATAAACAAATTTTGTTTCCAAAAGAAACATTAATCAAAGTTGTTAAAATTTCTTTGCTGACTCAGTCTAAGAAGAAGAAAACCCATGTGACTTTAGCTCTTGTTAATTAATGGACGTGAAATTAGCCCATTAAGATTCAACGAACAAGCTTTTAAGTACTATTTCTAAATTGAGCCCAAAAGATTTTTGTTTCTGATCAATTAACTTGGGAGTCAAGTCAAGTAAAAAACCCTGAATCCCCTCATAGAATCTGTTCTGTGCAATCGGAGAAAGAAGTAGAATATTTAGTTTTGTTCGCCAATGTCTTCACCAGAGAAGAAGAGGAAGAAGCACCGTCACTGGTACCCCCACAGACTCCTTTGCAGTTTTCTTCACTTCCTCATGATTTGGTAGTGAGCTGCTTAGCCCGCGTATCGAAATCATACTATCCGAGTCTCTCTCTAGTCTCCAAGAGCTTTCGATCTATCATTGCTTCACCAGAGCTTTACGAGACTCGATCACTCTTACACCGCACCGAGAGTATTCTCTATGTGTGCTTAAAATTCCCTTCTGACCCTAACCCTCGCTGGTTCACTCTCTGCCGGAAACCTAATCGAACACAAAGCAATCACACAAGGAAGAATAAGAAGAAACCAATTGGAAATATTTTGGTCCCAATCTCATCTCCATCAATGGCATGCCTTCCTCTAGCGCCTCGGTCCTAGATTGTCGGTCTCACACGTGGCAAGAGGCTCCAAACATGTGGGAGGAGCGGGAATACCTATCAGCCAGTGTCATTGATGGAAAGATATATGTAGTGGGAGGCCGGAAAAACAGCAATGTATCTGGTTGGATAGAGGTTTTTGATCCAAAAACTCAAACTTGGAAGCCTGTGTCGAGCCCTGGTACGGAGATAAACGACAATGAGTATATTTTTGAAACCTTAGTGATTGATGAAAAGCTCTATATATATGGTCATACAGGTGTGTCTTACAACCCAAAAGACTAAATTTGAACCCGGAAAACGGATTGAAAATATGTTTGAGGGATGCGTCGCTGCGTGATAAATAACGTGTTGTTCTGTTATCATGCCGAAGGAGTGTTCAAATGGTATGACACCAAGGTAAGAGACTGGAGAATTTTGAAGGGTTTGAAAGGACTGCCTAAGTTTCCTAGATATACAGATGTTGAATTGGTGGATTATGGTGGAAAGATGGTGGTTTTTTGGGACGAGTGTGGGCCTCATATAAGGAGCACGAGGATATCCTGTGCAGAGATTGCACTTGAAAGGTGTAAGAATGAAGAAGATATTTCGGGGAAGGTCTTATGGCTTGATGTTGTGCTTGAAATCCCAGTCTGTTCTCAAATTGTGAGTGTTCTTGCTGCTACTGTTTGATGAATCAACTCGTCCTGGTAATATCATTATATTGTCAACTCTTGATGGATGATTGTCTCATGTTTTTAGCTGATTTTGTTTTCCCATTTGTAAACCTCTACTCGAATTTGGAACCTTGTTGAGATTTTATATGGAGAAAAAGTCACTCACAAGTTTTTTTCTTTTGGTAACGGGTAATTTCAATATTATACATTAATTCAATGCGTGAAAGAAGGGAAAAAGTTTTACAAGAGGACCAAAGTTTGAAGCATCTCGGAGGAGAGACAAAGCCGATCATCTCTTAAGTTGGAGCTCAATCCTGCTCTGGATTTCGGAAACTACTTGTGATCGATCCAAAGAAGTTTTCGGATTGTTCAGCTCTTGTCCACATGGTATAGATTTTTGCTTGCCAAGCAAGAAGAAGGAGGATTCATCAACTTAAACGAGTCAAATTTTCTACTCCAAATCCAAGTTATATAGTTCAGATAGAAATATACAGTATATAGATCGATGAAATAGTTGAAGTTTTCATAGTCCAAGTATTAAACAGATTGTGGCTAGAACTTGGGTGGTGGATGTGTACTAGATCCTCTTGCTTGCTTTGGAACACTGCCTCTTACTCCAATCTTTCTCCCTTTAACCAAGAACTTGTGATCCCAAATCCTTTCTCCTATCTCTTTCC